AATTTTGTTGGATTTCTACATATAATACCGGAAGAGATTCAAAATTATTTATTCGGATGAACGGTCCAGTGTTCGAAATAACAGATAATAACTTCTGTATGGGAACGCTTCTCAAGATGTCATTGAATTTATGAACATTATATTAATTTTTGGAAAGGATCAAAATTCCATTCCGTTCTATTAAGCATTCGTTCTAAAATGAATATGTAAGCTGGTTCGATTACTGGATGGATTCGAGCATGGGGCAGTTCAGGCCATTCTCCAATAGGTTCCTTGCATGCATAGAAAATTGAGAGAACCAGGGACCGGAAACGAAATGGGATATCGGAACGACAGTGCATTTTTGTCGTTTCGTTTCCGGAAATGAAAGTAGAACCAAAATCAAACTGTAAGCGAAATTGGAATAACGTTATTACGGGAGACACAACTGGAAACGAAAAACGAATAACGTTATTGCCGGAAACGAAACTGGAACTTTGGCCCCTAAATGATGATTTTTCGAGTAATTTCTTGTAATTAAGAAATCATCAGAATCTACTAAAAGTCATAGGATCACAAAAAATGAAAAGAAATCATGATTTCCAATTCTGATTGAGAAATGACAAAATCGTTCAATAAATCACAGGAAATTATCTCATTATGGAAAACTTTGAGCCACCCGATTGAGAAGTAACCAGACCCTCGTTAAATGACCGATTCTTTTTGAGTTTTTCATACCAGAATACATGAATACTGTAATGATGTTTCTTTGACCTTAACAAATACGCAATAAAACCTAACCCAAAATTATCGATTATCAAAACACGACCAAATCATTAACTTCGTTCTCGTAATCCGACAAGTCTGAAACGCCAAAAACCATAAAGCTAAAACTGGACTCCAGGAGCAATCAGCAGCTCATTCAATCCTTACTTGGAACGTTTAGGGCGCCAGCCGCATTTTAGCAACGTGGAATCGACGAACCGCAAACGAAACCGTATTTTCTTAAAACTAAATACTGATTGTCCCCAAAAGTGCAATAACGACAAAAACATAACGAAAACAGAAATGTGGATTACGAGGGTACGGGATTTACTCGGTTGTTCAGTGTGCGGGTTGTGGAGAGAGGGGTGGATTCGTGGACGAGAACATCATTAACAAAGCCAATCATCAATCAAGAAACCAACAAACCAATATATTAAACTCTAAACGGGATGGGTATAAGTCGATATTCAATAATAAAACATAATTATACTGATGTATTCCGCTATTGCCCAAAATTAATACGAAGTCGTAAATTCTTGTAAATACAAAATTACATGAATGTGACTCGAAATAATTTCAAATACTCTAAAATGATCTGTTAAAATCTAGAAGACTCGAAGACATATGAATTGTAAGTTCAAATACGAAAAAGAAAGCGATCCCAATCCAAAGCTGACAGGCAGAAGCAACAGTATTGTCCACGAGGGGGAGACGAATCCAAGAGAGAGAGACTATAGGAAGGTAGCGTAAGTGCGAGAGAGAACGGATGAGGTAGCTACACGAAATTGAGAGAGCGCTAACGAGAATGTATTAATTTTTCCTATTTTCGACGGTAATTATTCGAATTCTAGACTGTACAGAGCATTTATGATAATTTCCCGAGGGTTCGCCATTTATAACGTTTTAAAAATCGGGGACATTGTTCACCGAAAAGATAGCAAACGGAGCTAACGAGCTTGAATCAGCCATGTGGCTGATTTACCAGAAGGGAGCATTTCTGAACCAGCAATGGAGGTTTTCTCCATTGAATGGTCTCAAATTAATTTCTAACCGTTAGAGAACCGTCAAATTAACCAAAGGGAGCTTGAACAATTTTATTGTTCTGGATTCCAACCATAAAAGTAAAGGTAACTAAAAAGATAGCGTGCCCATGCCCAAACGGAATACAAAACTGAACGAACACGAGAGAGAGAGAGAGAGAGAGAGAGAGAGAGAGAGAGAGAAAGGGAGACAGATTTTTTTTTTCAGGGGGAAAATGCATTTTACGCACACTCTCCGGCTTACAACTTCCCAGAGAGTAGTGCCTGAGTCGGTCTGGTCTGGATGGCGACGACCACGAGCTGCCAAGATTGGTGAGACCTGGCTTGGTTTACCTCGGCCAATGTGCAAACAATACGGACTAAAAACATACCCCTCACACCCGCCTCCTATTTCCCCGTGGAACCGCCGCTAGACATTACAGCACGGGAGAGAGTTTAGCCGTAGCTCTTCCTTCGGCCGATCGAAGCCAGCTTCTTCCATCTCATTTCTTCCTCTTCCTCTTATTTCTGTTCCTTTCTTACTCCGCCTTGCGTAGGTCTTTTAGGACTTCCGCTGCGAAGGCGCTGGTTGCCTCCCAGGCTGCCTATGATGAAAGCATTGCTTCCACCAGGTTTTCAGGCTGAATTCTCTCTCCGAGTGTAGTCTCGAGTGTACTGCGGGGCCCGTTGAAGCGCGGACACACGAAGAACGCATGCTCCGCATCTTCGGAGGCTTCAGTTCAGGCCGGGCACTCCGGCGATTCCTAATATTTGAACCTATGAAGATATTGCCGAAAGCACCCGTGTCCTGAGAGCATCTGTGTGAGATAGTAATTGACTTCTCCGTGTGTTCGTTCGACCCATACATCCAATTTCGGGATCAGGCGGTGAATCCATCTCCCATTGGTCGATACATCCCACAGCAACTGCCATCGATGCAGACTGTTGTTCCTCTCATCCGTCCTCAGCTCAGCTGAACTCAGCATTGTTGAACTTTCTCGCCGATAAAGACAACGTCGTTCCTCGGCGAGTACTCCTATCGGCAGCATCCCGGCGATGACACACAGGGCATCTTCTGATACCGTGCGAAATACGCTGGCAACTCTAAGGGCGCTCAATCGATAAACTGACGCCACCTCCCGTCGTGCATTCTGGATCAAGAGTACGTCAGCCCGAATGGAAATGGCATATGTAAGGACCGACGTGACAACTGATGACAGCAACGCTCTTCTCTTCTGCTTTGGCCCTCCAACGTTCGGCATGAGCCGTAAAAGGACAGTCCCAACTCCAGACGCCTTCGCGCCGACGTACTCCGCCTGCTGCTTGAAGCTGAGTCGAGCATCTATCATTACTCCCAGGTATCGTAGCGATGGTTGGGAGGTGATGTCATGATTCCCGACATGCAGCGTGATGGTTTCGATCTTTTGTCGGGTCGTGATAAGCACAGCCTCCATTTTATGTTCTGCCAGCATCAGTCCCACTGAGTCCATCTATCGACGAATTCTGTCATATGCAATATCGAAAATATAATTGATCTCCTCCAGGCGTTTTGCAACGATTACCAGAGCTACATCATCCGCAAATGCGACGAGTGTAGCCTCCTTGGGTAACGCTAAATTCAGAAGACCGTACATAACGTTCCACAAGAGAGAGCCAAGCACCGAGCCCTGGAGAACGCCGCCAGTGACTCTGTACTCTTTTGGGCCAGCGTCTGTATCATATTTCAGGACTCTGTCTGTGAAGTAGCTTCGCACCATCCTCCGCAGATATCCTGGTACACTCAGCTTTGAGAGGGCCTCCATGATGTTGTCCTATCTGGCGGAATTGAAGGCATTTTTGATGTCCAACCTTACCACCAAACAGTACTGCTTCGCGCCCCATTTCCACCTCGCGCCAGAGATTGCGTCCCGTGCAATGGAGACGACTAGGTTGATGTCATCGAGTGTGGAACGACCTCTACGAAAACCCTATTGGTTGTCAGCCAATTGTGGTTCGACCACTTCCTCGATCATCTGGTGGAGTATGCGCTCCAATATTTTTCCGGCTGTGTCCAGTATGCAGAGTGGACGATAGGACGAGGGTTCGTCCGGTGGCTTCTTACATTTCGGAAGGAGCACCAGTCTCTGTTGCTTCCACTTGGGTGGAAATATCCCCTCCTGAAGACACGCATTATAGACACTCAGGAAGGCTTCTGGCGCTGCGTTGATTACCACTTTCAGGGCATTTCGACTTCGTCAAGGAGCGCATTCCACGCCTGTCTCTTACTTTCCTGGATCGCTTTATTGAGTGTCCCGCGTGCCTCCTTATACTTGATCTCCAGTTCTTTGCAGTTTGGCTTCTTCCGGCCTCGTTGTGCTTGCCTCTTCGCTCGAATGCATGCCTCTCGTAGGGTGGCGATGGTGTTGTTCCACCAGTACACCGATGGATGGTTGCTTGTACTGCGCTTCCGGGGCATAGTTGCATCGCAGGCTTCGGTGATTCTACGCATAAATTCCCCCGCTTTCTCCGTGGCGTTGTTTCCTCGGATCGGGCGATCATCGAATATTTCACGGACTAAGTTGGAGTCAAGGGCGTTCGACTTCCATCCAACCGCGTTGGTCTTGTTGGCTGCAGATCCAGTTTTCCGAAGGACAGATACTTCCCAGGAAATCGTGTTGTGGTCACTAGCGGTGTAGATATCCATCACCTCCCAGTTGTAACTTCCCCTAGCGAGGCTGCTGCTTACGAAGGTGAGGTCTACGATTGAACTAGCTCCTCCTCTCTCGAAAGTTGGTTTTTCGCCACTATTCAGCAGTACCACGTACAAGAAAGATATGGCTTCCAGTAGCGTTTGTCCCCTCGTGTTTGTCTCCTTGCTGTCCCAGTCGACTGCCCAGGCGTTCAAGTTCCCAGCAATTGCTATGGGAAAGTGCTGCTTCGCGTCCTCGGTCAATCGATCCAGGAAGTCGGTACACTCATCGATGCATAGGCTAGGCGGAGCATAGCAGCTGTAGAAGTGAATTCCACCCAGCTTAGCTCTCACAAAGCAGCTTTGCGCAGTATTGACGCTACTCTGGAAGGGGTATTTACTGCAGGACCAAATAACGGCCTTAGCGGTGGTGTCCGTCTTCCGTGGCTAATCATGCAGATATTTGTACGGCTCCGAAATAATTACGAGCTCGGGCTTCAGCTCCCGCTCCGACTGTGTAAGCAGATCGTGTGCAGCCTCGCAGTGGTTGAGGTTAAGCTGAAGTATTCTCATCGTCGATTTTTAGTCAACGCCTGGAGTGCCTCCTTGTATGCTGGGCATTTACCGCTGCCAGCAATATGAGCACTGTTGTGCATGCGATCCTTTGCGACGCAAAGGACGCATTTGGCATGTTTCTCGCATTTTGCGACCAGATGACCACCCTCACCGCATTTGATACAGTTTTTTGAGCGGTCAACCAAGTTTTTGCACTTATTGGCAAGATGCCCGAAATCCCAGCACTTGAAGCACTTCAGGGGTCTCTCCACTCTTCTGATCCGGCAGTTTACCCACCCGATCTTAATCTTGCCGTATTCTCCGACAATTTTCTTCGTCGTCGCGACTGGCAGTCTCACCCAGGCCGTCTGGGTACCTCCGTATGCCTTTCGCAGTGACTTGATCGCATTTAGCGAAATTCCGCAACTTTCTCCGGCCTTCTGCAAAGCTTCGAGGATTTCTTCCTTCGTTGCTGTCTCCTCGAGGTCCTTAATTTCGACATCTTCTTCCGGTGTCTTACTGAGGACCTCCGCATCATCTCCAAAGAGTTCAGTGATGGCGTTCTGCAGGCCGGGAGCTTTGTCGCTGTGCTCCTTCGAGAGGATGATCAACATATCTCCCGTAGCCGCCTTCCGGATCTTATCCACGCAGTGGTGGGACTCACGGGCTGTCGCGTCCTGCTTCATTCGCTTGAGGATATCAGAGTATGACCCTTTGACCTTTGGGCGGATGATCAGCGCGTCAGGCCTTGCCGCATGCTTCCTCTGCTGCGGAAGCTGCTCTGTAGGCTGCTTCTTCCTCTTGTCCTTCTTCCCTTTGGCTTCCTGCCACTCCGACGTCTTGGGAAGGTGGGTTCTCCATTCGGGCGGTGATGTTGCTACCTGCTCCTTCCGCTTCTTTGAAGATTTAGCGTCCATCTCGGGAGAGGTGACTGTGTCGCGGAAATTAGGTATTAGCGTTTCGCACTCTTCCACCTCGGTTTCCTTCGCCGTCGTTTCAGAAAGAGTACGGGTGTGCGATGGCGTTGCAGACGTCCGCACTACGACTGGTGTCGAGAGATGCTGATGGCTTTGTTGCCTTGGCCTAGCCATCTGTCTCCTTCAGTCTTCTATAAGCGGTTGCAATAGCTGCTAACTTCGTCTTAATCTCCTTGTGGACGTTTGGCTTAGGGTTGGCAAAATTATACAGCTCGGTGATCAGCTGGTCAAGCCGGTCCCATGCCTGCGTCCTTTTCATCGCTGCATTTGCATCAAGTGCTGCTTGTTGGGCATGCTGCCCGCTCATTTCTCCTTGATCTCTATTCAGTTTTGTTTTGTGTTGGTCCTGCATTTTGTTCCCACGAGTACCTAGGGATGTAACAACAGTCCGCCCCTGCAGAGCACCGGCTGCTGGGGTAAGGTCACTTAATACACCCGGGGTGGGACCTGGTGCCCCAGGAACCACCGTTTGCGACGCCAACTACCCTTGGCGCCTTCCAGAACTCGGTACGGTGAACACCTCGACATTAGGGTGAGGCTGTTTAAGGGAGCCCACCCTGCACGCCACGTTTGGAGTTGGGCTTCTCTTCCAAGATGTCCTGAAAAGGACACGCCTTGTCTTGAAATGCTTCTTAGTTTGGGTACTTCTCTTGAGCCCCTCCACCGTCGTCAAGGTCCTGCAGTTCCTAGGCGGGGCCTTTTTCAAGTGCATGAATTTTTTACAAGTGCATGTAAAGATTCACCGTATTGGCTAACAAATTCTATACACTCCAGAAACAATCGAGTCCATGCGGGCCTTAAATCCTACAAAATAATCACAGGCGACTGTTTTCTAATTTCAACCATTTAGCCGCCAAGGGCCCTCAAATTTGAATTACGGAAAAGCTGATTCTTCACCGACACCGAACAGTCCATTTTAGTTAAAAAATGCAAATGATCTATGAAAATGTTGATTAAATAATCTCAAAAAAATCGGGATGCTTCTTGACCCTTCACAAGATGTCTCCACGAGAATTTTTAAAAAATCATTATTCTATTCAGCCATCCTCATTTTTTTTCTTTTTTCAATCAAAATTTGCCATAATATAAGTTTTGATTCAGTTATCTGATTGGAATGAAAATAATTGCTGACTTTTTCTCATACTCTGCTCTTTATTTTCTCATTTTTGACTTTTTCACTCTATTTCCATATTTAACCATTTATTTGTTAATAAACTCCAAAAAAAAGCTAGTTTTTCATTATATCATCTAACTTGAGAAATTTTTGGTTACGCAGAATAGCGTTAGACCAAACATGAGCCAACAAGATCAATCCCGAATTCTATCAAAGCTTCCATGTCTTTGTTAACATAGATTTTTAATTAAAAAAGATGGAAAGTTCGCTAGATGGCGTAGGGGCGTCTGGTTGTTTTTAATTTAGCTCTGTATATTTTCGCTGTTTTAATAGTCATTAGCCAATTTTTATCATCACCGAAGGTTTAATTCTCTTCCTATCTATTCCTGGTAATCTGATAAGCATTCTCGTTTAGCTGATCATCCTTTCCTAATTTAAATTTTTGCATAGAGTAAATGTGCATAACGATGTGCGGTTAAACTGATGAGTGACTCCTTATGGAATTAGGATACGCTAACCCATGATGAAAGTGTCAGTTCTAATACTCTGTGTGATACCTATGATAGACCTACGGAATCAACTTATCGGTGTCCACAATAGAGATTTCGTATTTCTCATCTTTATCTCAAGTACCAGTCAAGAGCCTACAGCTGTCTTGTGTCATCAATTTCTGACCTGTCAGAAAAAGAGGCAGATCAAAAAAGAGCACTGGTGCTAGTGTTAAGAAAACTCCATCTGTTTCTGCATGCAAGCGGAAACTGACAGAAACTTAGCTCAATTTTGGCAGTGTTTTATTCAGTCCACTCAGTAAAAAAACGCCTGGATATCCGTAGTGTCGTCCCGGATTTTTTTCATACAACAATGGGCGCCTCGAAACCTACTCAAACGCCCTCTCCTCTAGAGAAGAATACTGATCTGATGTTTTGTTTTAGTGCTTCTCGACTTACGCTGCTACTGTCAATACCGTCACTTATTGTACCTAGCCCACATGATCCTGCAGAACCTCCTGCTTGATTTAATGATATCCTAGACTTATTCAAACTGATGGATACTAACAACATTTCTAGAAATGATAAGCTCAGAGTGGATATTGCTAAGAATAATTGAGTTGAAGGCGGAAATTAAATCTAAGTGAACAACAAATTGGAAAAACTGAAAAATGAAGTTTCTCTAAAAGACACTGACTTCCATTAAAATTGCTCCCCTAGAAGTGGAGGTGAAGAGTTGTAAAGCCGATTTATAAACTCTCAAAATTGCTGAGGAAATGTCTGCTAGGTTTATTGCACTGGAGGAGGGTCTTGTGTCGTTGAAGGCCTCTGCCAACTCTTCACACGTAATACCGGCAGTACAGACAGATGACTCCATCTCTAAATTGATTAATGATTTAAACTCGAATTTTGAATTGCTCGAGCGCGCTTTGAAGCAGAAAAAAATCATTATTCGGGGCTAAATACCTCAGAATACCTCGACTCAACAGGAAGTGGACTCTTTCCTTCGCTCGATCTTCAACATTGATGTTCAACCTTCTGAGGAGGTTATGCTCCTAGGCAGGGACAGGACGGCTATTTTGGTCAAGTCAAAAAACTTTAGTGACAAGCCAGAAATTCTTAGGAATAAGAAAGTGGCATTGAGCTCCCGGCAAATATTCATTGATGGGGATCAAACTCAATTACAAAGGTCAGTGCAGGGAAAGTTGAGAGCAGTGGCTGAGGTCGAGAGATAAAAAGAGCTTTTTGTCAGGGTCACTCGAAATAAAATCGAGATACAGGGACAGAAGTGGTCCTGGGATGAAAGGCCCTCCAAGTTTCTTCCTGTCAATGGTCCTGCTAAAATTAATGCTGCAAGAGGCTTGATACCCCATTTTTCAAAAGAAATAAGTCCAGAAGAGCGTCCTCCTCTAAGGATCAGTTCTCTCCAAAATTTGGAAAAGTGAAGGTAACCTTTAGGAACGTCAAGAACCTAAGAAAAAATCTTGTCGAATTACCGTCGCTTACTGACTGTGTTGGTATAAGCCTCACTGAAAAGTTTCTACAGTATGAGTGGAAGCAACTTCCATCTGGATTTTCTGACTTCTACCCAGAATGGTCCCCAGCAATGAGGGTACATGGTCGGGGTAAGGCTAGTGGTGGTATTCTGATGTTGGTTAGGGAGAAGCACGGGGAGCCTGTTATCCTCCGTCGCAGTGACAAAGCTTCAAAAGCTTCTTGAATGAGTTTTACATGATTCCCGACGAATTCCTTTCATCTGGAAAGATATGCGTTGTTCGATTTGAGCGTAACTGATGGGCCTGTCTACCATTACGTTGAAATGTCTGAGAAGTTGAGCTTATTCTTGACGTACTATACGAGTTGGCAAGAGGGGAGTTCTAATCTTGATGTCCGTTTGCGAAAAACTGTTCCAGCGCTGAGCTATTTGATGCGAAACTTCATCATCCCAACCAAGCTTTGATACTCAAACCTCCTACCAAAGGATCTTTCCTCTGATGGCTACAGGAGAGAAGAATCCGAGCGGATCATTGAGCTGAGCGATTTCCGATGAAATAATTAATTCTGATACGATCGATTTCTGCGCTGCCTTGATTGACAAAACGAAGTTATCTGAAAAGATGAGAAACTGGTCAAGATGAACAACAAGTGAGTTTTACAATGCGAAGACTCAAGAGTAAACACAATCAGGAGTCATGGAGGCGTAAATTCCATTGATTCCCAACTGACCTACTTCGTATCTGAGCTTGGTTCGATGATAAGGGGTGTAAATCCTCATCAAGATCTGAAAGCTAGATGGAAAAATGACGGAATCATATCGCCAAATGAGATGGGGGTGTGGCAATTCTATCCCTTATTCCTCCACACCGTCAGCAAGTCAGTGCTGACGTAAATTGCCAGGAGTTCGAGCTAGTCTGAGGCCTGAATGTTGAGTGCATTTGAGGCCTGGAGATTGCCTGAGTCTGAGGCCTGGAGGTTGCGTGAGTCTGACGCCTAGCGATTGAGTGAATCTTAGGTCAGGGGTCTGTTACTTTGGCTGATGCGAGGGGCTACAAGAGTTAATAAGATGAGGCTCCAGGGAGACCAAACTCTGAGCACCAAGTGAGATCGATATATCTGACGAAACGTCAGATGGGCCAACTTGGAGTGCTTCGGAGACCCTCAACCCTCATGGTGCTTGCGCATCACGTGCCAAGGTCATCTCGTCAATATTATCAAATGGTTACCGACTGCACCAAAGACGAAGAATACTTGAATATGTAGGTAACATCTATCCGTAGAGTAATACGATGAATCGTTAAGTTGATCGATCTACTAGTTGACGATGATCAACTTCACATGAGGCTCCAATCTTTGATTGAGTCCTCGGTCTTCTCAATGGTCGGGTCGGAAGTCATAGTGGTGGTCGAGTCAGAGACCTTGACGTTGGTCTCCTCAGACGTCTGACCGCTTGACAATTCAGAGGCCTGAACGGTGGATCGGTCGGACACCTGAACGCTGGACGAATCAGAGATCTGAACGCTGGACCAACTGGAGATTTGAACGCTGGACGACTTGAAGATCTGAACGGTGGACAATGTGGAACTCTGAATGCTGGGCAAATCGGTGGCCTTGACTTCTGTCGAGATGGAGGCCTCAACGTTGTGCGATTTAGAAGCCTGAATGGTGATTTGGCATTCCCTGATACTGTGTTTTTCTATACAGCAGTAACAGAGGTAGAGCTGGTCGACGACTTCCTTCCTAGCGATGGGCGTCAGATTCTTGAACGCATCATACGAGGCGATGTAATGATCCCCCTGGCAGAAGGAACTGGGGTATTGCACCTTCCTTGCCCGTTGTGATATCTTGAAAGTGGACTGTACCCTAGTGGAAAAACATAAGGCAGAGTCGTAACATGCCTGATAAGAATTTCGGATCGGACTTGATCAGTTTCTGATCGAGACCTGAACAGAATTTCCACTCGGGTATGAGTCAATTTGACAGTGAAATTCGTAAGTGTCCTGGTATCTCAGATG